TGTGTTTACTAAACCCTTGCGCAGTGGTTGAAAAAGCTAAACAGCCTCTCTATGCCTGTCCTGCACACCTTGTCAGCGTGTGATTGATCAGTTTTCTCAGAAACCAGAAAAGGGCTACACACGTTCCATCGTAGTGGGCGTTCCATATGGACTACAGGAATGAGAAGCCAGTAAAGTTTAACATTCCATTTTCAGAGGACCGTCAACTGAAAAACCTTTAAACCGCGAAGCTTAGCGTATTATAGCAGAATGAACTGACGTAAGATTGTTTATGGTGGTGAATGGCATCGTCCGTTGCCTCCCTTTTGGACCAGAACACATATCTAACCGGTCTGCAGTCTAATGTTTGGATTAAGGGCTCGCAGCTGCTTCACCATTTGCGCATACTCAGTTCGACATGTGCATAAAAGTACAGAAGGATTTTGAGATTACAAGCATGAGAGGGATATCTTACCATATAATTACCTGTGTAAAATACTCTCAATAAACTCAACACATTTTAATCCATCTATTGACGACCGCGTTCGACTAAACCCATTTTAACTGCCCTTCTGTTCCATCGCCCGTGTTTTGCAAATATATGCGAACACGAATTAAACCTATTGTAATACAGTGATTCGCAAATGTAAAATAAAAAAATGAACACACTAGGGTTAATGATTTAGGCACCGTTTACGGCTTTAGGTATATACAAGCACTATATGAAAATATGGGGCGGAATAATGGAAGAACTAAATTCATTCCGGAGATAATAAATAGCCATTCTGAATAGATGGATTTAATCCAAGTTTCCTTACCCTGAGCAAAGAAAACATGGCTTTGATTATCAGGTAGCCTGAGATAAATGCGCTGAATAGCTCTTCCAACGACTTCTTTGCATGCATTGTCAATTCGGAGAGATTGAGCGCCAACAGAAAAAAACCCATGATGATCGCGTACATTAGAACCCACGATCGGAAGCACCAGTAATCCATGTTAATTTCCGCCGCCTCCTGCAATACGGAAAATGAAAGATTTGTATTAAAACTGAGGGTTTGGTGATTGTTATAATTTCGAATGTTGATGAGCAATGCCCTGCTAGTTCATAAACAGGCCAACAGTATAGGCCGAACAGAAGATATGAGAAGAGGTAAAAGGGATACGCTTGCAAGACGGGAGACGCAGAAATCCTGCTAACCTCAAGAGGCGCAAATAATTTTAAAATACAAACATGTGATATAGATTTCACAAATTTTCAATTGCTGTGGATCAACATAACGGAAAAAACAACTAACACAATCTGACGGAGAACATGTCATTGT